GTTTCTTAATAAGAGGCTTAATGACCGCCAGCTTGAATGTTTTTGGGACGTGACCTAAAGACAACGACGAGTTAATAATATTGAGAAGTGGTTCTTCTGCTACAGGTAACAACTCTTTCAGTAATTTAGTGGGTACAGGATCTAACAGGCATGTTGTTGGTTTAGATGCAGTGATAAGTTTAACAAGTTTGTCAACTTGACAATCGGCATTCTGTATTTTGGCGTTTGCTTGTACTGTGGCTCTGAATTGTCAAAACGCCTCTCAAAATGCTTGCTATGGATGCGAAAAACGCAGAAAATCAAACCCGATCTTATTTTTTTTATGATGGGCAAAAGTTTCGTAGGCAGTGTGTAAACGTGATTGACACAACGTGAGGCTTGTATTTATTTTTCAATTCTGCTACAGGTAACAACTCTTTCAGTAATTTAGTGGGTACAGGATCTAACAGGCATGTTGTTGGTTTAGATGCAGTGATAAGTTTAACAAGTTTGTCAACTTGACAATCGGCATTCTGTATTTTGGCGTTTGCTTGTACTGTGGCTCTGAATTGTCAAAACGCCTCTCAAAATGCTTGCTATGGATGCGAAAAACGCAGAAAATCAAACCCGATCTTATTTTTTTTTATGATGGGCGAAAGTTTCGGAGGCAGTGTGTAAACGTGATTGACACAACGTGAGGCTTGTATTTATTTTTCAACGTGCGAAAATTTTGGACTCAGTGTGCAATGGCCTTAAACCTGTACATCTCTGTGTCTCTCAGCAGTTGGAAAGAAAGGACAGTCAGGGCAGCTCTCAGCACAGCATATGCAGTCACCGCAGCACACACACCAACTCACCCGGCCGACCACAGCCCATCGTGCCCACTGACACCCTGGGGGGCCCTCCGCCCGTGCCGCCTCCTCCCACCCAGCCACTGCCCGTCTTGCCTGCCTTTGACACCTCTGCAGCCAATGGGACGCTCCAGAAGAAACCGGACCCCTTCAAGATCTGGGCGCAGTCCAGGAGCATGTACGAGAGCCGGGGTGAGTAGCCTGGCTTCATTCCCACTCGTCTTACTGCTGGCCCTGTTTTTGTTTAAGCAAGCAACTACTATAAAGTGACATGTTAGCACGCTCTTCTCTCGCATGGATATGTTACAGCTACACACTTCAATTCAGTTTGATTTGTCTTAAGATCCAGGTTTATTTGCCAGTAAAACTTATTGTTAATCATATTCATCTTTTTGAACTAGAAGCTGATAGTGTACAGTCAGATTCAAAATAGAGTCTCACAAGAAATTATATTACATAGAAATAACACTTTGTATTAGAGCCATCACAATACATTATATCTCATGGTACGATACCAGCGAAAGTATTGTTACACCACTCTACTCTAGTCTATTCATTCTTTCATTAACACACACCATTATACAAAATTAATATTCCTTAACATTCTTAATTTCACACAGCACTGCAATGCATTTATTTTCAGAGAAAATTGAAGATTTTGCACTACCAAAAATTTCATTTGAATCAAAGTTATGCCAAAATAACGATATAACATATTTTAACATTTAAAGTGTATTTATTTTGTAGACGATTTTATCCAAAGCAACTTACAAAAGAGCAAGCAATTAGATTGATCATAGTATGCAATGGCATGTTTAGTAGACAGTTAGATTAGGAAACAGATGGTAATTGCAGAGGAAAAGTGAAGACCAAATACTTTGCCTGAGGATGCAAAAATATCTAAATGTTGAGAAAATCACCTTTAAAGTTGTCCAAATGAAGTTCTTAGCAATGCATATTGCTAATGAAAAATTACGTTTTGATATATTTACGGTAGGAAATTTACAAAATATCTTCATGGAACATGATCTTTACTTAATATCCTAATGATTTTTGGTATAAAAGAAAAAAATTAAATTTTTACCAATACAATGTATTGTTGATTATTGCTACAAATATACCTGTGCTACTTATGACTGGTTTTGTGGTCCAGGGTCACAAATATTATCTTTATTTAACCAGGAAAAAAGACTCTGAGATTAAAATCTCTTTTGCAAAAGTTTGCATATACAAATAAACAACGCCGTTACAACATAAAATTCAAAAACCAGCATACAAACATATAACCAATTAAAAACAATTACGCACCAATAACTCACAAAGTTTTGTAACCTCATCTCCTTTTGGAGAAAATTCCCATCTGAAATGGCAGCATATTTAAAAGAGGTTTTACCAAGCTCAGTTCTGACAAGGGGCACACAAAGATTATAATTTGATTGAGAACATAATGAGTAATTGCCAGATGAAGCCATTTGAAGGAAATAACAGAGATAAAATTGGCAAATAACCCATTATGGCTGTATATATCAACAGATACCAATGCCTTTTTCTCTGAATACTCAAAGAAGGCCATGCCAATCTTTTGTATAGTTCACAATGATGAGTTGAATATTTAAAATCAGTTATAAATCTCAGAGCAGCATGGTACAAAGCATCCGAGGAGACGAGAAGGTAAGGGGGGCATGCTGATAGACTACATCCCCATAATCGAGAACCGGTAGAAAAGTTGAGGACACTAATTTTTTCCTCACATGAAAAACAACGTATTTCTAGAGTAAAACCCTAACGTTTTCTTTAATTTTTTTCTCAAATACTTAATGTGTGAACCAAAACGTAGTGCGTTAATAATAATAATACCCAAATATTTGTACTCTGACAATGTTGGTTAGAAGGGGCTGAGCAATAAACCATAGTATCGTCTGCATATAAATGAAACCTTGCATTATCAATATTAAAATCAAGGCAGGTTTTATATATTCTCATAGTTGAGGTATACCTATGATGAAAATTACAGGCCTCTCTCATCTTTTTAAGTGGGAGAACTTGCACAATTGGTGGCTGACTAAATACTTTTTTGCCCCACTGTATATAAAAACTACATTATGTGTATATTTACTTTTTAGTTGAAAACATTATTAATTAACAACTATTTTGTCAAATCTTTCAATCGTTAGGGGGGGTCCAGGCTCCCCACCCCCGCAAGCTCCGCCCATGTTTGCCACTGCTTTAGACACATCCCACTGGTTTGACTTAATTGACAACAAACACTGTGAGACCAACTGTGACGTCCTAAAAAACACAAGCGTGAATGAGATTCTCCACTGCGACAAAGGCAACTGTCTGTGAACAAGTTCATTTCTGATCGGTTTCTCATACAAAAGTGTCATATGGCTTCAGAAGACTTTGTATAAACTACTTTACTGTAGTGTTGGGAGGTGTTTGTCCTCGGTGGTGTGGCCGTGCCCTGTATGTTCCACTGTGGAAAAAAAACAATCATGCTAGTGTGAAATAACATGAGAGTGGGTACATTCTGACTAGAGATTCATAAGTCAACTAGTCGTGTCACTGCACACTGGAGTCCGAAATTTTCTAATGCATTTTTCGTATTCATCATCCTTAAAATTTGTCATGCACAGAAACCTTGCACACTGAGTCTGATGCGTATTAATTAATCTGTTGCGAAAAAATTTGCAAAACAGTACTAAATGTAGTCTTCAAGCAGTGAGGATGATTTTGTTGTCCTCTTGCTTCTTAAAAAGAGAAAAAGAAAGGAAATATTGGGTCCATCCAATCCTGAGATATAGAGAGGAAGGAGAGTTCCCCCTCCTTATTAAGGAGCAGCGGGATTATCCCAGGCGATTCAAAGTTTACTTCAGGATGTCGTGACTCAGTTTGATGCTTTGCTAGTGATACTAGAGGCACATATTAAAAAGAAGACCACCAATTTCCGTGAACTCGGTGTGCAAGGATCTTTACAGAGCTTTGTGCTGCGAGACGAAGTGGATCAACTTCAATTCAATTCAAGTTTATTTGTATAGCGCTTTTCACGATACAAATCAATGCAAAGCAGTTCCATATGCAAATTACCATGCTCTCAGACAAAGGGTCATAAAACTCCCCAGTATTTCCAAACTCCCGCTTGGAATTTCAGCCTTTCTCATTGGACAAGCCCATCCTGAGAGGCGTGACTCTTCTCAGACCTTAAAGGCCTCACATCAGTGACCCGCCTTCAGTCTGCGGTTCTGTTAGATTCTGAGAAGATTCTGGATGTGAGCTAGAACGCTTCTGCAAATCTTAAGTCTGCACCAGGCTTCGGCCTTGTCTTTACATTCACCAACGATCCTAGGATCTCAGCTGATGTCTCTCTTAGCTCTTTTTCACTTTCCACTGGGAAGAAACTCCCAATCACCATCGAGTCAGAACATCTTTGGAATTCATTACTCTTCAAACCCGGAAGAACGTGATCGCAAGTCCAAACCCATGGTTTGAAGGTGACTCATTTTCCATAACTGCATTCTCTGGTTTCTCTAATGGCTTCATTCATCCACTTTAGCTCCCCTTTTGTATGTCTGCGTGATTGCATGTATGTTTGTTTGTTTGTTAGACTAGTTTGTGTTAGTGTTTAGTTAATAAAACTCTTGTGCACAAATTACAGGCACGGCGCCAGAATTTTTTCTCTACCGGTGCTAAGGGGGGGCTAGACCAATATGTGGGGGTGCTAAGAAAATAAATGATATTGATGACGTCAGAGTAAACCGGGGCTATTCAAAATTCTGACGGGGCTATAGCCCCCCCTAGCCCCAGTGTAGCACCGTCACTGACAAATTACATGAGTTTCTGATTCTGCCTTCCAAATTAATGTCCCTT